TTTTTTTATCTATTTTGTCTGTCTCAGGATAAAGGATGCCCGATTCTACTAGAAGTCTTTCAGAGTTTAAAGGCGGTTTCCCCCCCACTGTCATCAAATGCTTCAATTTATTGGTTTGTAGGGTCTTTGCGTTATAATATTAGGTGCCCTGAGATTACAGGATCTGTCTCCAAACACATTAAGGAAAAACAAAAAACAAAATATTGAACTGAATGTAACGTATTAACATGAGGTTTGAAGATTTGGCTCTGAGATCTATAAATTTGAGATTTTGCTGACACAATAGCTAGCATAGTCGCCTCTCGGCAAGAAGGTTTCCTGTTTTGGCATCCTTTTTATAATACTCCATCATTATTGAATAGAAGCTGTATCTCACCTGTAGGCCACCATTTCACACTCTGGCGGGGGCCACTTCATAATGACAGCATGCTGCACAGACACACAAACGCATCACGCTAAAAACCAACATTTCCAATAACCATATTTATGCACAAGAGTTCTCATTAAGCTTGCTTATTCCTACCAATTGCTCAAGCAGTGAGGACCGGAGACTGGGGCTGAGCGCCCAGGCCTCTTTTCCTCGTGACGTCAGATGTGCGAGGATGCCTGCAGCGAAGTAGCTGACCTCCACTTCCGGGCTGTGCAGCAGACTGCTGATGTGGTCCAGAAACCCCTGCACCATGAGCTCTCCATGCAGCTCCCCAACCTCTGCTATGTTGTTCTACAACAATCAAAAGGCGAGCAGGGAATAATGGTTCCTTAATTTTGTTAACGCAATCTAGATTCAGTTTAGCTTCGGGATGAAAAAAGAGAGAAGTAAACTCACCAAAAGCCCGAGAACCTTCTGCTGAATAGAAGATTCATTGGGGAACGACTGCAGATAAAGAGAGGGGGAGGTAGGGATAAAAACAACAGTGAGTCATCTTGCCCCAAAGCCATGTGTACTTATACGGAGGAACACATCATTAAGTGTGATGATGAATGTAATATTGCCTATTTTCTTTACATGTTCACATAATTTCCATGTACCTCTAGAACTTTAATGAACAGATCTAGCCCCTGGTTTTCAATAAAATGGCGGCAGGTTGTTGGCGATTCATCAGTGAGGTTCCAGAGTGCACTCAGCGTAAATTTGAGGGTGGCATCCACCACGCCCTGAGTTGCCTTCTGACGCACGATGTGGAGCAGTTGCTGCAGGGCAGAGAGAATGCATTGTACTGAAAATCAGCCTTTTTTCGATAAATGAGTAAAGACAGATGAAAGTCATCTAAGATTAAAAACAACAACAACAACAACAACAACAACAACAAAAGAACGACTCAAAACATACTTTCACGATAAACAGCTCTGCTCCCAGCTGGGCCGTCTGCTCTGTGGATAACTGCAAAAAACCAAATGTTGCAGCACTCAAAGAAAATACCCCACAGATGTACTTTCAATGTATGAATAACTGCATATGTGGTACTAATACAACACCAAAAGTACCTTAGCAGCGAGTATGGAAATGATTGCCACAGCCATCCTCTGCATGTTTTGGTCTTCGTGGTTGCAAAGCCACTGCATGACCAGTTTGGCAGCTTCAAACCTTTAAAGAGTAAAAGGAAGCAGAGCATTTTAAATTCTACCTTTACTGAAAATGTTCAGAATTATGAATTAACTTTTGGCATGTTTATAGTTAAAATCGTTGACAACCTTTAAAAAAAAAAGAAAAGAAAATTTAAAAATTAAAATAAAATAATAATTTAAAAAACCTAATAACAAAATGATCAATATTTACACAACAAATGTGGTGTTTCCCACCTGTTGAATGGAACTTCTTGCAAAATGCGATCACTGCACAGAGACAGCAAGCAGTTTTTCTGCAACTATAAAAAGAGAAAACAGCCATGATTGCAGAACCTAAAAGCTATCAGACTGCTGCTGCTGCTCCCATGTTTTTATCTCCTTATCAGTTCTGTTTAGTCACAATAGGCTGGTTAAATATTATATCTGACTTAGAGCCTGTGCAGGAAAATATAATGGAAAATGAATATATAACAGTGCTCACAGATAAACTGCATTTTCAAGCTTACTACAATAGGAGAAACATTAATTCCGCATGGAAACGTGAGCTAGTTTAGAAAGCATATGCTAAATCCTTTTTTTCCCCTCTTGACTTTGTGGAGTCTCTTTAGTGGACGACATGGGGAAAATACACAGTGAAAAACAACAGAACGAACAAAGGTTCTTTTGGACACTCCCTTATTTATAAAAGGTCACCACAGCTGATGGATACAGATATTTGTTTTTTAAAATCCTGGATTCCCATCACAACCTTTCAAGGGACTTTTGTCTCTTGTCTGAAACATCCAACAGAGGAAATGTTTGACATAAAAACACAAGAAGTAACGTTCAAATCATATATCTAAGAATTATAGTGTAGATATTATTTATTATTGTAATTTGCACCACTCTCTCACATAATCTAAGTCTTACTTCACTATTCTTTAATTACCCCATTTTTATTTATTTATTTATTTTTTATATAAGAGCAACATTTCTTGTACTATCACACAGCATATGTTCTAACTGCACCTGTGGCACTTTAACTGTGTTGTTTATTTACTGTGGACTCATTTTTATTTTTTAATATGCTTCTATAGATAAAGTATCCATCTATCTATAAAAACTGCCTATTCAGCATGTGGCTAAAACACAACACAACCTCAACTGTGCATCATCACAACACTGAACAGTTATCACACAAAGCACTTTTCCCCCATAATTTTAGAATAAAATGTGTATCGCTTAACAAATCCTTTTGTCCAATATCCAGCTGTGCATGTCACTTCCTGTAATGGTTAATTTCTACTTGTGACCAGAACCCTGCATTTGTTTCCATTACAGGCTGTATTGATTTGGAAATCTTGTTACTGAGGAACAAACAAACATAACGTTACGCAGTGCACTATTTACTTGTGTTTTGTGAAAAAAAGGGAAACTACTTAATGTGGTTGCGGGAAATTCCTCAAATCTTTCTAAATTTCATACTGTCGCAACACTCACGGGTGTTACCAAACGACCCAGCTAACACAGTGTTCTCCAAAGCTGACACGCTGCTGCCACTACCCTCAAGAATACCGGACTAAAACTGTGCTCGCCTTTAAACTTGATTTCTTACTTTTGTTTA